ACCCAGCGGGGCCAAAATTAGCACTACAACGGAATTTGTACCACGGCTTACCCCACTCTGTTGAACTTTCACAAAAAACTTGTCAATTACACAATTGAAGCTGTAATTTTGTTTATTGTCCTCTGGAATTTTCAGACCCATCGAAAAATTTTGAACTACGTTTTTGGGGCTTCAAAGTTGACTGTCTTTCACTGAAAATGTCAAAATGCCGCATTTTATGAGGTCGTTCATGTCGCTTGTTACCATAGATATCAACTGGCCGACAGTGTTTATAAAGTTTTTCACCCGTCGGAGATAAAAGCAAAAAAAATCCGGAAAAATTGTCCGGTAAGAAAGTCGTGCCGCACGCGTGGCCTAGGTTTCTCACTGAAAATCCTCGTCCCTCGGCGGCACCTTTTTTTTGAATTTTTTCCTTTTCAACGGCGTTTTTCGGGGAGTTTCGGATTTTTGAAAAAAAAATTCGCAATAATATTAGGAAAATAGATAACTTTTAACACATTTTAATGCAATAGAAAATTTGACCGGAGTCCCCCTTGAAATTCTAAACCCGTTCTATAAATTGTAATGTTGAAGAGATAGGAAACAAGGCAAAATGCTGAAACAGTAATTGAAGTGAGCCAAAATTAATTGTTAGATGCAAATTTTCAGAAACCGAAAAAATCATATTTTCAGAAATCTCATATTAATTGTGCAACAAAACTTCACTGATAGACTCACTTTCTTGTTTTTTGTATCTACTGCAATATGATATCATTACTTTTGTATGTACTCTGAAAATCGTGAAGTGCACAGATATGTGGGTTTTGTTTGGAATTTTCGCAGAACCTGAGTTAGGCAACCGAGTGTAACTATTTTGAACACGGGTTAATGAACAGAGAAGCATCTAGTCATCTTGAAAAGAGCATTTGAACAATGGTTATAACAGCAAATACTTTTTTCGAAAGTTCCAACCCTGAAATTGTCTTGAAACTTCTTTTAAAACTTCAAAAAATTAAACATTTATCCTTCCCAAAACAGATATATAAAATTGAAAGCAATTCATGAAACCTAGCAGATATTGTTGAAACCCTTTTCAGCATGTTTGAAAGTACCTTGGTACAAATTTTGAGCAAATTCTCAACGCCCCTCTCAAACCACTTCCCTTGTAAATTAAAAGAATTCGAAGATAAAAAGGGTGGTACCAGGAATGAGAACTCGGAAAATGAGAACTGTTACATATGAGAACTCGTACGAATAAGAACTCGGAGAGTACATGGCAAACACGGATTTTTTTGGAAAATCTTGAAGTATTGTGAAGAACGAGACCATTTCGAAAATATTTTTCAAAAAGGTTGGATCCTGAGCCTGAAATTAGAGCCGGAAAACGAGTTCTTATTTGTCTAGTTCTCATATGTAGCAGTTCTCATTTTCCGAGTTCTCATCCCTGGTACCACCATAAAAATGTCGCTGTTTTTTGAGAACAAACTCTGAAAATGTGCAGTTTCAAGTTTTCGAACAAGAGTCAATTTTAATTCAGAAATTAATAATCTATGAGCTGTTGCCTTTATTATTTGATTAATTATAGATAGGAGAAAGTTTGCCATAATATCACTGAAATTTTAGCAGTTGAAAATTTTTGATATCTCTCATAGGAAGCGAGATAATCAAGCTCAACTTGAAGGTGGCGTTCAATTAATTTATCACAGTATTTTCTTTGGTTTAAACCAAATTTGTTTATTTCGCCATTAAAGGAAGAAGAATAATTATTCAAATGTGTTCAAAATTTTTTAAAGGGGGACTCCGACCAGAAATTTTTATTGCATTAAAATGTGTTAAAATTTATCTATTTTCAAATATTATTACCAAAAAATTCAAAAAAAAATCCCAAATCCCCCAAAAACGGCGTTGAAAAGGAAGAAAATTCAAAAAAAATGTGCCGCCGGGGGACGAGGATTCC